CCCCGTCCAACCCCGCTGCCCCTGACCAGCCCCGCTTCCCGCTGGCCAGTCGCTCCCGATCGCTCCCAGCCAGTTCCACTGCCCCCGACCCTCCTCCCTGATCAGCCCCACTTCCCACCAGCTGGTCACCCCCATCTAAGATCAAGTGTGTCCAGTATTTTTTTGAAGCCACCTGGTAATCCTACCAAAACCATGTTCAAATATACAGTAAAAGTCATATTTAGAACCTTGCATTTACATACAGGATGTAATTTCATTTGAACTACAACCTGGATTGAATAAAAACCTCAGTACAAATGAAGTTCACATTACTTGAATGATTTAAACATAAGCCTGACAGATCTGGTGGAATAAGACAAAAGTGTTAGAAAACCTTGTCACAAATTTAAAAAAGTTATTGGGAACTAGAATTGAAGACAGCGTTTTTAGTCTCTTAAAAATGACAAGCTATGTACATCTTTACAATCCAGAAAAGCAGGTTAGATACTGTATTGTACTGTTCTGGTAATGCTGTATATCTTACAATGATGCATCTAATATTTAAAGTATTTTTTTAATGTTAATCAAAGCTGTCTCGAGAAAGCACATTTAAAAAATAATAATTAAAAAAAACCCGAACCTTCAGAGTTCTACAAATGATTTATGGTGGCAATGCTACCTAATGTTTCCATTTCTACTGATCAGGTTAAATAAATTGTTTACCAAATTTTAGCTTTCTGGAAATGGGAAAATTCCTAGTTGTACTGTTACTGTCTGGCCACCCGCCAAGCTTGCAAGACTTGGAATAAAAATGAAAGAAGGCAATATTTATCTTACTCACAACTACATTTTTCCCCTAAAGTGAAGCACGTGATTTTCTGCTATGTGGTTAGCTGCAGAAGTAAACACACAATGAAGCAGAACTATTATATTGCCTTAGCTACAAATCAAACTCCATAAGGACACACAGTGCTTTATACAAAGTTATGTATTTTCCTCACTACGACCTCCCTTTCCAAAGAAAGCATAAGTCTCAATTTTTCCTGTCTTACACAATGTCCTTGCTTACAAAGCTTTTTTGTACCAAATCAGACCACAAATTTTTGAATTCTAAAGAGACCATTTATAATCCTATTTGTTTTAGTTACTGAAAGTAGTAGTAATAAGTTTTCTAAACACTGACTTCAATACAGTTCCTCTCCATCAAGCAAGTTTACTATGGCTTTGTGCAGGGAACAGTATTAGCCCCAAGTATTTTCTTAAATTTCTATAGCATTACAAATTTAAAAACTGATATAATATTCAAGTAGACAACATGAAGTATTTCAAAGCAGACAAAACTGACACCAATCTACCAATTTTATAAGAAGTTAGTCAGCATTCAACTATTTCAATTTTTCATGTTTCTTTACATTCCAAGTGACAATATTAAAGATTTATACTTCTGTGTTCATGCACAACTTTAAACAAGAGTTGAGCCACTAAATTACCATTGCAATTCCAGGTCCTAGAGTGTTCATAAACTTACGTTTTAAAACATGGGTCTCCGGACATTAGCTGCATGCTGATCAATACCTACAAATCAAGAAAAACAAAAAACACATTTTTTTTTAAAAAGAAGATACCATTAGTCAGCAAAGGAATTGGTTTGTGATGCTGTATGGTGTCAATAAGTTATATAAACTACCAACCTTGTATTTGAATTGAAAATAAAATTCTAGTGTGTGTTTAGTTTATGCACTCACAATGGCCACATGCTTCTGTAAAGAAAACTGTGTCCAAAAATACTAGTACAGAAGAGTTAAACTGCAATAATCCTTACATATCAGTCTTTTAAACAAAGCAAAAACTACAAATTAGTGTTTGAAATCAGTTACATTATCTCATTTCTACCTAAAGATTCTATACAAAGGGACATAAGACAATGCAAGAAAAATAAGTATCAACAGTAAGGGTGAAATCAAGAAAGGAGGACTGTATGAGTCCATCTAAACTACATCCTTGTTTCGATAAAGGGATGTAAATTAGATGTATCAAAATTGTAAATGAAGCCTGGATTTTAATTTCCCGTGCCTCATTTACATTATGGCAGCAGCGGCTTTTTTTCCGAAAAGCTGCTTTTTGAAGAAAAAAAAAAAAAAAAAACCACAACCCACAAAACCCGCAGTCAAGACAGGGATTGTTCGACAGAAATGCCCCATTTCGAAAGATCCTGTAACCCTCAAAAATGAGTTTTACAGGATCTTTCGAAACGGGGCATTTCTGTCGAACAATCCCCATCTTGACCACATTTTTTTTCGAAAAGCGGCTTTTTGAGGGGAAAAAAGCTGCAAGTGCTATTATGTTAATGAAGCGCGGGAATGCGAGAATTCAAATCCCAGCTTAATTTACAATTTCAATACGTCTAATTTACATCCCTTTATCGAAAAAGGGATGTAGTTTAGATGTAACCTAAGAGAACTTATCTATCCCCCAGATCAGTAGTTCTCAAACTTTTGTACAGCCGGTCCCCAACTTACGAACGAGTTACGTACCAAACACTAGGTCGTAACTCGATCTGTTCGTAAGTCGGATTACATTCACTTACATACGGCCGTGCTGTGCGTAAGTGCGGATTTCGTTCATAACTTGGGTTCCGGCTGCATAGGAGGTTGGTCATAAATATGAACGGTCGTAAGTTGATGCGTTTAAGTCTGAGGACTTAAAAATTAAAAGCTTTTTTTGAATTTTAAACACTACTATAAATGCTGTAGGTGAAGTGGGTCTTGGGATGGAGGCTGACAACTCACTCCGCCATGTAATAACTTTGTGTGATGCCCCCGAGGGGTCATGACCCCCAGTTTGAGAACCCCTGAACTAGACCAGAAATGCGGATGTACAAGGAATTCCATGTGCACATACACCAGCAACAAAACACATTCTTCCATCCACATTCATCATTTATGAAGAGGTGCTTATTAAATGGCAAGAGACAAAAACTTCATATCATTGGGAAAGTCACAGGTGAAGGCAAACAATCTCAAACGTCAATAATCATGATGAATCAGGATTTATTTGACCAAAAGGTCAACACCAGTAGAGTTTTCATGAACATTTTCTGGAATAAAGTCCCATGTTTTGGAGAAGCCTAGGTCTGTCTTAAACAAGGAGAAACTGAACACCTAAACTGTATAGTTACCTGTGTGACTGATCTATCCCAGTGCCCCCCAAAAAGCACAGTTCAATCAGATTACATAAATCTGTCCTAAATTCTATTTGTCCAAATGGATTGCATCAGAAAAAAATGGTTGTTCTAGATCTGTCTCCGGGGTTTGAGATTTCAAATATTTCCACAAATTGTTTGGCTCTGGTTGAATGAGTAGAAAGGCATTTCCATCTCCTATCACAATACATGGTGGAATGTTAAAACCAGCTCATTCATTACAGAATTAGGCAAGCTAATTAAAGAAAACTACACTAAAAATAACTAACACAGTTACACCAACGTATAACTGTTAGTGGTAGTTATATAAACGATGTCTATGCTGGATTCTTTCATTGTCTTCTTACATTGAATTTACATTGCAATGCCCAATTCCTATTGGAATAGGAAACTAAAATTAATGTAATACCTAAAAATGGTTCTTCTATGTAGCTGTCTAATCAGAATTCCAAAACTGGCACAAATAATCCACCAATTTGTTACTTGTATGGATGTCACTTGGTTCTCAAAAATAAGGTTAAGATTTTCATTGCATTATATTACTTACAAGTCCATTCTTCCTCTAGTAAGAGTGATTACTGACAGAGGATATTCACTGAGAGCAAATATATTTTAAACTTTGTTGAATGTTTGGATGTAATGTTTGCGGTTTTCAGCGCCACAACATATTATTTCTTGTTTTTCCCTTACTCAGTTAACAGAAACACATTTTTACCTCAAAAAGTATGATGGAAAAAAATATGAATTACTTTGAGAATGGAATTATCCTGTCTGGTATTTTTGGTATCATAACCTTCCAATAAATAGCGACGAGTGGTATTTCCCGATCCAGCAAACTCTGCAAGGTTTAGGTCTGCAAAGCCCAGCTATTAAGAGAGAATGAGTTAGAAATCACATTATAATCTAAAGACATTTGCTGGATGCACAATAATTAGTATTCGTTATTAACCTTTAATCACATTTGAATGAGAATGACTGCTTCATGCAGAAGGGATGACCAAAGGAAGTTACAGTTGAAAAGAAAAACAGATCTACAAAGCCTTGTAAATACTATTAGAACTGATGCCATTTAATATGATTAAGTGTCAAATGCTGCTCAACTGTACTCTTTTAGTTTCAGCTTTCACCTAAAAAAGCCCTAGGAAGGCTTTCTAAATATTTAAAATCTCATACACACACAAAAATACAGAAGTACAGTCTTCCATCATTCTTGAGGGGGAGGGAAAAAGCAAACTACAGGAAAGGTGGAGTAAAGATTACTAAACAAAATAAATATGTCCAAGCTATCTCTCAAATATCAGTCTGTCTACAAAACAGATAAGATGGAAGATCATTTTGGTATCAAGATTATAGATATTCTAGCCTACTATACTAAAATATATAAAGCATATAGCAAAGCAAGACGGAAGTGTCAGTTTATATAATAGATGTCCATTTACCTTTGCATATGCCTTTCCACCTTTTAATTCCTGCAAAAACAAACACATACTACTTACTAAACAAGTCCTAAACATTTAAAATGTTGCCTTTTTGAAGGAACCCACAAGATATCTGAACACAGTTTTGCCATAATATTAGTTATGTCAAACATCTATCCCTGAATATTGAGGAACATGCTAGTAATTAAATAAAAATGCTAAAGTCCTCCAATATATTTTCTAACTCATGCAGTTGAAAGGCTTCATCCCTGCTGCCTTCACAAAAGTTCTCTCAGGAGAAAGAGAGTGTTGTTCAGTGCTACACAGCACCAGTTTCTTTCTGCTGCTAGGGTAAGGAGTGCAGGAGGTACACCTCTGGAGACTAGCAAAATTAAGACAGTACATGGAATGAGTTCAGGGCCTCTAATGGTGTATCTACACAACAACTGGGAATGAGTTTATCGGCTTTCAAATAGACAGACTTGAGCGGGCATTCTGAAAATAGCTGTGTGGACCTTCTGAAAGAGACGCAGGCTAACCACCCAAGCTCAAATCCATCTGAGCCATGAGACTTGAGATCAAGAAACTAGTCTAAAACTTTAGTGGAGCCACAATGTCCACACAGCTATTTTTAGTGCAGTACCTTGAGCCCTGCTAATACAAGTTTGTCTACTCTGGCTGGACGAGTTCCCAGGTCCAGTGTAAACATGCCCTAAGCTTGTTGCTTCTTGCGCTGAACTCCTATGCACGCATCAGTCACTGACCAGGAAGAGTTGGGCTTTTCCCAGAAAGAAAGTGAAGCCAGCCATTACTGGATCAAAGAACAAGTAGTTTAAATATATTTACGCTACTCATCCTTAAGTTCTTGTGTTGAAGTGAAGACATTAATGCTTCCTTATTCTTATCTTTTCAAAAGCCTCTGAAGTCCCCTAGCAATACAGAAAAATCTGTTTGTGGCAGAGTAGAGAGATGCGGTCCCCTTGTTACAATTAACAGAGGACCAACTGGACATATTCAATCTGCAGGCTCTTAAAAATTTCTACTATACTTAGTACCTTAATATAATTGAAGGAAGTTTTTATAATGTGAGAGGTTTATCCTTCTGAAACAATACTGAAATTGCATGCGCACTGACCTATCTTGGTTGTGTTTCAACATAAATTATGAAAAGAAAGTTTCCTTGTTTGATACTCTAATAAATTTGTTAGTCTTTAAAGTGCCACTGGACTCCTTGTTTTTCCTGAAACAGACTAACACGGCTACCTCTGAAAACACCGTACATCTATAAAGAACTATGATTTTTCCTTTTGAAATCATACAATGCTTTCTGCTTCATATATTAACACCATACTTGAAAAAGCATTAATCAAAGTAGCAACATACTTATGCTGCTCAATTTGTCAGCCAGAAAAATCACTTAACGAGATTCCTCAGGATGTGGCACACTGGAGATGGTTCTTAGGTCACAACTAATTTTGAAATTAATCATAGCTGGCAATTCTGCCATTTAGCTAGCATAAGTGATGTTCATTGTTACAGCTCCCCTCAAATTACAATGTGTGAATTAGAGTTAAATAAGCAATGGTCACATGACAAAATTATATTTAATAATGAGTATTATAACTACAGTCAATTAATTTTATTATGTCTGCTAGAACTATAAAGATACAGAGAACAGTAGCAAATAAAAAAAAAACCTACTCTGGAAGATAAAACTATGAACTAGATGAGGAAAAATGCTGTTTTTACCTTCCGTACAGATACTCTGCAGATGCAAGGATCCAGAATCCCAGTAGTGACACTGGCACTCATTTTACACATAAATAAAAACTTCTTCTTCCAATGAACAGAATTTGCCTGCACCACCTCCCTGCAAAAAGGGACAGGAAGGGAACAGAGAGCAATTATAACAAACATTTAAAAATTACATATGCAATTAAGATCACAAGAGACAACTGGACAAATAGGAGTAAACATTCATGTTCTGCCACTTCTGCCCAATCACTTATCAAACTTTGCTGAACTGTCTGTATGTAACTAAAAATTAAACAACTTCTTTTTTTTCCATTTAAAAAAAAAAATAGTCCAACCATGTTCAGTATTTCCTGTACATAGTACAGCTCTTGTGATAGGTATAATGCAACATGTTGGATGGAAAAAAATTGACAACCAGGTTCATTGTCATAGAAAGGAGAATCTGTATCTCAGCTATGCAAAGATATACAGACTTGACACAAAGAAGAAAGATGACTGGACTAATTACTGTTAGGTGAGAAGTAAAATGAGGAGTACAGGATCTTTTGAACCCCCCCCCCTCCCCCCGCTAAAAAGCCTTTCCAGGATATTTAAATCCCGGCTTCATTTGCAATATCGATGTGCCTAATTTGCATCCCTTTATCGAAAAAGGGATGTAGTTTAGACAGTCTTACAGTCTCATAAAAATGACATAATGACACTACTCTGTCCAGCCTAACAGCCAGCTCTTGCTTCTTAAAATTCTGGATCTTCAAATTCTGTTTCTCAGCAGACTAATGAGCAAAAACAGACACAGTTTGGAGAGGATTATTTTTGTTCTGTGCTTATGTGGTAGCAGACTTGGGGCAAGCACTGCAGAGTTAATTAAGACATTGCCTAAAGATAGAGACATAAGACACAGGAAAGGACTGAAGCAGCACAGCAAAGAACATTGGATTGACTGGAAAGAAAAAGGGAAGTTTTATTCAGCACACACAGCTTCCTTCTGTCGCAGAAAATCTGTCACGGCTTCTGGGTGTAAAAAAGACCCTATCTGGGAATATTTTGAAAAAATCTGTTTTCTGGGTAAAAAGAAAAATGTAGCAAGTGTAAGAAGTGCAAGAAGTTGATGCAGGGCCTACCTGCAAAAATGAAACATCAGAAGGAAAACTGCTTATTGGAAGAGAATGTGTTTGAAGCTATGATGTTGGATATTGCTAGATATTTATTTTATCTTAGCTAATCTTTATGTTCTATTTAATTAGTTAACTAGGTGTAGAATCTATCACCCAAGTATACAGTATAGAAAACTGCAGAAAGAGAAATAAAGAGTTGCCATTTGCCACTATCATTTTTTTATTTTATATTCCATAATACATGCCTTTTATTTTGGAACATCATTGTCACAGACCATAATGGTGATGCAATAAGCACTGTTTCCTGTAAGTTGTGGGGGCAGCACAGCTTCACAGGTGATTAATCAGCCCCACCCTGTCAGTCAGTTCCCTGTAGGAGCCTTGAGCCTCTGACCAGGTGGGGCTGATTAATCAACTGTGAAGTTGTGCTGCCATAAGTATATTCCCCATTTTACTTTAGCATAACTCAGCTTTCCCAAAGAAACTCCATCCTACACTTGTTTTCAGTGGGGCTTACTTCAAAAATAAAAGCATTGTAAGCACAATCAGTCTTAGCTTTTTTGAGACATTGGAATCAGATCTGCATCAAAAAGACAGCAGGAGTGGGGAAGATAAGAGTTAGTTGTAGAAGTTTTAAGGACGCCATTAGGGTTGCCAGGTGTCCGGTTTTCTACCAGACAGTCCAGTATTTGCGCCCAGCCACCTCCCCAACCCAGCATGCAGAGGCTCCCAGCGCCAATCATGGCCTGCCTCCCAGCTGGGAGCCTCTGGTTGCGAGCAGATGCCAGGTGGGGGGAGTGGCTCCCAGTCCCGCTCCCGCCCCCTCCCGGCTTCTGCTGGCAAGTAAAGGGAGTGCCTGCCGGGGGCGCGGCTGGAAGGACCCCGCTATCCCATGCGTTGCTCCCATCTCTGGAGCTCTTTCGTG